AGGCGGGCGCCCGCAGGACGAGAACGGGCCCCGGGACGCGCTCGCGCCGCCGCTCCGGCCGCTGCGGGGAGCGCGGAGTGCGAGAGGAAGGAAACGCAGCAACCGCACAGTGCCGCCCGCTGCCTCGAACTACTTCGGGTTCGGCTGCCAACGTCAGCACCGAGGAGGCCCCGCCCCGCGGGAACCCAGGCTCCGCCCGCTGGAGAGGGAAGGCGACGGCCGGCGCACCCGCCCTAGTCCGGCCCTCGCGCTCTAGATGAAGCGGAACTGCAGAGATGCGCGTGCGCGCTCTGCAACCGGAAGTGAATCGACCCAGAGGCTGCTGATCCCGGAAACACTGACTCGCACTCTCCACGCCGGAGGAGACGTGTAGGGGCCGGGTTCGGCCCTCGTTGAACTTTCACCCGAGCGTAGGGGTTTCTTTTTCCGGGACAAGATGGCGCCCTCCACGCCGCTCTTGACAGGTGAGTTCCCAACAAGCAAGGGAATCTACAGAGATTCCACGGAGAAGTTCTATAGAGTAAGGTTATTTTGTGTCTTTTCCCTTGAAAACTGCCCTTCGAGCCTTGGAGTCTGACCTCCCATTTTTTGTGGCTTGCGGAAAGACAAGACTATTAGTTTTTTGATACAGCGTGACAGTCGGAAGTAAGACCTTGTTCGCTGGTGTTCCCCTCCCCTTAACCCATCATCATTCTTCCCTGCCCCTGCACGAACAGAATAGCAAGTGCTACTTGAATTTGTGACCCCAGGTCTGCAATACTGATCTTGGCGTGGATTCTTGTAGAGTCATTTGGTTTTATGTTATGGACACAAAAATAAGCATATGGCTTCACGTTTTAAGTACACCCAGATTTAAAGCATTGCAAATTCTCTACTCCTGCCTTAATGAGATCTGTGGAACTCAATAGGCTGAGTGAAGCTGTGATGGTGTAGGTTTCAAATGATGGCGTGGTACAGTGAGCATGATAGAGATACTTGTAGCAGTATTCGATATTGAAATAGTTGTGAGCATTTAGAAGTAGAACAGTAAAGACTGCTGGGATTTCAAAGCTCTGACAGAGTTTGTAGAGTTGAAGAAGATAAACTTAGTTTTGGACAGATGTTGGACTAGGGTATGGCTATGATCTTTGTATCTGAGCTGGGAAGAAGTCTTTGGTTAAGTCATAATAACTATATGGAAGGAAAGAAAAAAATCATTAAAAGAAAGGTTATCTACTTGAGACTTGAATTTGAAAAGCTTTTCCATGTCTTGCCATTCCGTATTTTAAGATCCATGTTCACTCCTATTCAGTCAGACTACTACAGTTCGTTCACCAAACATTTATCAAACTTTAACTATAATCTACTAGGTAATAGGCTATTTTAAGTAGCATAATTATATAATTATTTTTTCTAGCTTCATAAAAGTAACTGTGTTACTTAGAATTTTTAATAGTACATGGTTAGTAGAACTAGTAAAAGCTAGTACTTTTTTTTTGTCTTTTTGAGACAGGGTCTCACTATGCAATTCAAGCTGGCCTTGAGCTCACTGTGTAGCCCAGGGTGGCCTCGAACTCACAGAGATCCTCCTGCCTCAGCGTCCCAAGGGCTGGGATTACAGGTGTGCGCCACCACACCCAGCCGCTTGTACATTTTAGAATCTGGTAAATTTTCTCCTCTTTAAGCTAATTCTAAAAGGGGAGAATATTTATAGTATAAATTCCATTTTACTTAGCATAGCGTATGGATCCCTTTAGAATTTTGGAGTAGCTCTTAAATATTAATTCTTTGTCTTGGTACCTTATTTTACCTTCACTGCTGACTTTATTAATTCCTTTAAGCAATCTATTATTCACCTTAGGACCATCCTGTTCTTTTTGTTGATTTGGCAGACTTTATCTGTTAAAATTAATTTCAGATATTGCTCTATGAAGCCTCTTCTCACTCTTCCTACTTCTGTATTATTTTTGTGCATGTCATTTTTTTTTTCACTTACCATATGGAATAATTACCTAGTCGTTCTGACGTTTTTCTCTTCTGCTAGACTCCAAGCTTCTTGATGTTAAATACTTGGTCCAGAACCTAGTAGACAATAAGCATTCTAAATGCTTAATGGAAAAATGAAGTGACAAATAGCTCTTTAGTAATTGTCGAATTGACCCAGAATGACAGTTTTCTTACAATGCTTATAAACAGGCATTTTGTAAGACTTTAAAAGTTATCCTGTTCAGTTTTCCTCTCTTATCCTCGTATTGTTAGTCTCAGAGAGACTACTTTATCAGGTTCAACCGCACTGCAAATAGACAAGGCCAGGATTGTGTTCAGATCAGTCCATTTAATTGTCCATTTTTTATCTTTAAAGTACATTGCTTAATGTTTTAAACAGTCTCAGTTTAGATTTTTTTCTTACTTCCAAAATCTTTTGATAAATTTAGACTCATTTGCCAGTTGTGGTAGCACCTGCCTGTAATCCCAGCATTTGAGAAGGCTAAGGCAGGAGTTCAAGGCTGAGAGTTCAAGGCCAGCATGTGCTGCATAGTGAACTCAAGGCTAGCCTGAACTACACAGTGAGACCCTGTCTCCAAAAAAAAAAAAAAAAAAGACTCCTTGAACTGTGAACAATTTGGAGATTATCTGGTAAATTTTATTAGCAACAACTCTTAATTGAAAATGATAAAAAGCCAAAGCAAGTGAAAAGGTATTTTTTCTTTAACTCATGTAATCTAAAAGCGTTGGTACTGCTAGTTTTAGGTAACCACATGACTACAGAAATCTGTTTTTCTTCATCTCTAGCATTTTTGTTCCCTGTTAATTAAATTCCTTCTAGGGCTGACAGCCAGCTCAGGGCTCCAAAAGAAAGCATATCTTTGCCAGTTTTCCCAAGAAAAGTCAAGATCTGATCTCTTTAACTTGGCTTGGCTCTTACTCATCTTTGAATTAGAAGATTAGGACCAGTTATGTTTTCACCTCTAGATAGTTTTTGAAGGAAATTAGTATCTATTAAAGAAGAGCTTACTTCAGGGCATGTAAAGCAACATGAAATCCATATTATCTGCTTGCCTAGTTGAAGTCATTGCGATAATTTATTCAAAATTGAGTCATTTTCCTAAATTGATATGTAGTTCAGCAAATGTAAGAGTTTTAAAAAGCATATTTTAAAAATTATTACAGTGTGTATTTAATAACCTAGGACATCTGCTGTTGAAGCCCAGTTGAGTGATTCTAACTCAGAGCAATAAATAGTATTTAAGTCTCTGAAAAGGCTGGTACGGTTAGAAAAGATATTATGTAGATACAATATTTAATGTAATCCTTGTTTTTAAATAGATACTATGTGAAACTAGAATTTATCTCAAATAAGAACTCTGAATTCTGTATTTTCTTCTAGAATGTATCACTGGCCCTCTGATTAAATGACTAAATCATCAAAAACAGAATCACCAGATGTGAAGGCACTATGAAATTAATTTCACATTCCGTTCACTGTATCACATTCAGATGCTTCTAATTAAAATGGATTCATTATTACAAAGTTGCATATAGAAAAACTTGTTACAGTTTTTGAAAAATTTGTTGAATCCAAGTTTATTTTTGTTTTCATTAACTTGTAACATGGTTTATGTTGTTATGAACTTGATTTTTAATTTTTCCTATTAAACTTTATATCCATTTATTCAAATTTGTATGAAGAAGTTGTTCAGATTGATTGTTTAAGCAAGTAAAGGAAAGATCCAAAATGACCTGAAGTACTTTCTCGTACTGAGGTTTCAACTTAGGGAAATGTAAAACAAAATAGTTGTTTTGAATAGTGATTTATATGTATGAATAAAACTATAATGACCCAATATGATTGTTGTTATGAATTCTGTTATAAAGCATTGTGTACAAAGGGCATTGTCTAATATAACAAGGGATCAGCAGTATCAGAACCCCCATGATACCTCTGATAAATACTTCTGTCTCATAGAGTATTTTTACCTTAGTACAAAAATCTTGGTTTATTCAGTATTTGATTATAAGTCAACATATTGTCTAGTATCCCCAAGCACAAAAAACTTTGAATTGATTTCTTTTCTTGCCATATTGTGAACAAAGTAGTATTACCAAAAACTCACATGACTTTAAAACAAAAAAACATTTTGATATGATTTAAGACTAATACTGGTGACAATTAGGGAGGATAGGGACCTTTATATGCTATTGAAGAGAATGTAAATTAGTATAAGCACTATGGAAATCAGTGTGGAAGTTCTGTAAAAAACTAAAAATAGAACTACCATATAATCCAGCTACACCATTCCTTGGTATATACCCAAAAGAACTAAACTAAGTACACTATAAAGATATCCACAGTATAATTCACAATAACCAAGACATGGAATCAGCCTCGGTGTCTATCAAAGATGAATGGATAAATAAAATGATACATATGCACAATGGAGTATTATGTAGCCATAAAGAAGAATGAAATCAGAAAATAGAAAAATGGATGGAACTCTAGTGCATGTTAAGCAAAATAAACCCAACTCAGAAAGACAAGTATTGCATGTTATGTGGGATCTAGAACAAAAAGATGACATGAAAGTAGAAGGGAAGCGGGCAGGGTGGTGCACACCTGTAATCCCAGCACTTGGGAGGCTGAGACAGGAGAATCGTGAGTTTGAGACGAGCCTGGGCTACAAAGTAAGCTCAAGGCCAACCTGAACTGCATAGCAAGACCCTGTTTCAAAAGACAAAAAAAAAGAAAGAATGTAGAAGGGAGATCATTAGACAGGAGGAGGATTAGGGGAAGGAAGAAGGGAGCATAAGGAAAGGTTATAAAGGGAGAAATATGATCAAAGTATGTTACATGCATTATGAAAATACCACAGTGGCCAGTCACGGTGGTGTACACCTGTAACGCCATCACTTGGGAGGGTGAGGCAGAACGATTGCTGCAAGTTTGAGGCCAGTCTGGGCTACATAGCGAGTTTTGAGACCCAGTCTCAAAAAAACCAAAGAGAGAGAGAAGGAGGAGGGAAGGGAAGGAAATGCCACAGGAAACCCCAAATTCTGATTACTATGCACTAGTTGTGTGTGTGTGCATATGTGTAGTGGGGGAAAAGCTCGCAGAAGTTGCAAAAGTAGTAAATAGAATTATATGTCCTTTTCACCCAACTTTCCCCAACTATAATAACTTATATAGTACTGTATAATCATGGTATATTGTCAAAACTAGGAAATTGATACTGGTACAGTAATATCTACTACACTGCATTCCTTATTCAGATTTCACATTATGTCTTTGTTTATATATATATGTGTGTGTGTATATATATACACACACACACACGTATACATATTTACTAACAAATCCTATTACATATGTAGATTCATGCAATCACCACTACCAGAATATAGAACTGTTTCTTCACCAAGAAACTTGTGCTATCTTTTTTACAGTGTGATCTTTCTTCCAATTCTAATCTTTTACAATTACTGATCT